TAAGAATTCATCTTTGCCATACTTTTTTTTCTAATTACATGTATGCCGTCCCTGTAAGCGCCACTATACTCTTAGGGCACCACGGAAATTTGGTAATGTCTTTTCGATCTCTTCCATGTATATATTTACCATTACGGAGAATATTTGAGACCCCATAGCCAGACCCTGTTCTGGAGTGTATATTCTCCACTTGAATGTGAAATAAGTCATGTCGATGCATAAAATTATCTCGACCAGTTGATCCACTGTAAGCTGCTCGTGGTAAATGTGTGGGTTTTCTGTTCTATCCGTGCCCCTATGAATTAGGCAGCGACGACAGCTATCGTGATTATCCTTATGTATGGTGCGCAACTGGGTTACAGGGTGCTCATTGCAGCGGTCAGCATTATCATGTATTGCCTCATCTCTCTCTCTTACTAGCATGGGCTATCGTAACAATTAATAATAATAATAATAATAATAATAATAATAATAATAATAATGTGCCAGCTGCACGCCGTAACGGCACTCCGCTGCAGCGCGACTACCACCAGTTGCGCGCGGGCTGAGTATACCGCGAGGACGCCCACCCCTATCGTAACAACACCAACTCTGCCCTCCTAGGCGCATTCCAGTCACACTTTGCGCATTCCGCCTGCTGGTGGCCTTAAGGATCACAAGCCTTTCTTGTAATCCCCAGGTCGCGGGTTCGAGCCTACACTTAGGGGACTGGGCAGTATCCGTAGCCCACGTGCGATTGGCGGATGTTGTGCGGCAGCGCAACATAGGTACTGCGTGCCAGCATACTGCTGATGCCTTACTTTTATCTTGCACATTCCTACTATTTTCGGTACCAAAGATTCACTACACAGTCTGAAGTGAGCCAGTCACGACTTTGACACATTTGAACTTTGACCGTCTTGCATTTTAACCCGTCGTGGACGAGTCGTTTTACCACTGGTTAAACTCCATACGAATTTGTTGGAACATTTATTATTGTCTGGTTTTGGAGTACTTGCTGTGTGTCTTGGATTACGACACGCAATCTGTTGTGACCTCGGTTGACTTTGCAGTCAGCCTCTGGGATTCCGATCACCGAGACCGTATCCGGCCGAAGTGGATGGTTTTGGTTTCGCTCTTTCCCATCCCCGCACTCTATCACTAGAGTGGATCGTTTTGGAGAGAACGACACTGAAACCATTTACTGTCGGAAGGTACCTGTCGAAATAGGAACCTGCGTGTTTTAGTGGCAAGTAACCATCATAAGAAAAAGAGGGGCCGACGGCCAAGGCACCGGAATACATGTGGGTATATATGGAAACCGTTATCATAATTTCGAAGGAGACTACTCACAGTTACACTTGCTCAGATAGCCAATACATATTAATAAATTCACCGAACGACCGTTTCATTCTTTCTGAGGCCGTCAGCAGTGCGCATCTCATCTGTCTTCTGTGGAGCTAGAAACCTCGGCCTGACTCCTGAGGTAGCCAAAGCTTACTTATAATCTCACCGGATGACGGCGACTAAGCATAAGAAATAGTGTCTTGTTTAGCCAACCCTTTCGTCTGCATGTTATAAACACGCATCGCAGCGGAAGATGAGTAACGCACTGTCACAGTTGGCTGGTCACGGCACCTGCCGCTCATGCCGCGTAACATAATGGTCGTATACATTAACTCTTAAGATTCCGGTCAGGGACAGATAAAATGCACCTTCTGACGACTCCTGAAAGGATGAAACGGTCGCCCGGTACTTTTCCTGGTGTGCAATATCTGCTGTCCTTAGTGTGGTTGTCACGAATCTCCTTCCAAACGCATTCCGAATCCGTCCCTTCACTTGCACCAAAATGTTTGCTGTTTGGGTCTTTACCTGACACACATTCAAGGTGTCTAAGTTGACGCAGTGATATGGTGACTCAGCTATCTGCAATTCGCTTTACCACTATTTCGTGTACTTACCGGTCCGTTTATTCTATTCATCCGATCATCTAGTTGGACTGTGCCTCGCATCGCTCCTTGGAATATACCATGTGTATTTGTTTATTCCATGCAGGACTGAAACTAACATTGTCATCCAGCTTTCTTGCTTTCTTAATCATTCAGTAGTGTATGCTGGGATAAAAACCATAGCTTCACAAGACTCACAGAATTTATATACTGAGGGAAATTAAAATCAAAATGTTCCAACATGGAGCGTAAATTATCAATAGTCAAGCCATTGCACTTTATCAAACTGTTGTGTAGCGTCTATCACAAAGATGAAAGTCTAATTATCTTTCGAATATCGTGATGTGTGGTGCGTTCACCACATGTGTGGGTAGTGCATTCCAGTGGGAACAGATTATAAGTGAGTAAAAATACTTTCCACAATTCAAACGGGAGTGTTGCATCATTAGTTTTAGGTGGTTGCCTCGGCTTTGTTTGTAAGGGGCTAGGGTTAACAGTGATGCACATGGATAAATAATAAATAATAAAATAAATGCACGCCATAACCGGCGCTTCGCTGCCACGCGACCACCACCAGTCGCGCGTGGGCTGAGTATACCGCGAGGACGCCCGCCCCTACGCGGCTTCGAACCATAAGCTGCACATGGATGCTCGCTTTCGGTTAGTATCCGGTAGGCGAGAATGAGATCTCCGCCAAGCCGTCGGTATTCTAGTGAGAACACACCGAGTACACGAAGACGCAGTTCGTAACAGGGACCTGGTAGTCCGCTCGTTATCTTTTCAGCTCTTCTTTGGAGTTGCTCCAAAAGGCGAATGTCTTGTTTTAACCATGGACACCAGACCCGAATTCCATATTCAACGTGAGGACAAATATACGAGTTAATCAGCAATGGTATTAGCCGTCGCTCAAAGGTGCCGAGAGGTCGCCTCAAAAGCCTCAAGTTCAAGTTCGCCACACTTACTGCTTTCGAACATTGGAGAGAATTGCCAACATTTTCTTACACGATGGTACTTGAGTCGCGTTCACTAATCACGTGTTTCCCCAAAACATATGTGTTGATGAAGCTGCCACGCACCGTCTGCGGGTGACGGCTTTCAGGGTTCAGTGGGAGCTGGTTGCCTTCTGCCCATTCGATAATCCGGTCCAAATCGTTCTGGAGATAGGCACAGTCGGATGCTGAGCGAATTGCTTTCCATATTTTAGCGTCGTCTGCAAATATTTACCTAAGGGATAGAATGTTTTCTGGGAGGTCATTGATGTAGACTAAAAACAGTAGCGGGCATAGCACGGATCCTTGCGGTAGACCACTGGAGACGCACAGGCTTTCCGAATGATTGTCGTCTACTCTTACCTTGATTGCTCTGTCGCGTAAGTAGTCTTCCAATCTTGTGAGCAGGGAACTGTTTATACCATAGACAGCAAACTTTTGGAGGCGAAAGAAGGGATTCAACCTGTCGAATGCTTTAGAAAAATCTAAGTGTTAGTCGGAGGCAGATGGAAATTGCGTGTTGTCTGCCCGAAAACACTGCACAACCACGACGCGTTCCGATGTCATTTCATCTCATCAGGTGAGGCGGGCAACATCCAATTTCAGTCTGCTTCGATTACGGTCCCAGTGATCGCAGTGACCAAGGCTCACTTCAATGTGAAGCGCTGTCCACATTGAGATTGCGCGTCGCAATCCAATCACAAAAGGGTAGTCCAAAAATGATCCTCCAATCAGTCATACACCATTGCGCCAAGGGTTGCCTTCCGTGACTCGGTAGCCAAAGGGTTAGAGGTTTCGGCTACTATTCCAATGGTCGCGGGTTAGAGACCTGCTATCTCCATCTGATGAGATGGAATGGCATCGAAACGCGTCGTGGTTGCGCAGTTTTCGGGCGGGCAACACCTAATTTCCATCTGCTAAGTGTTAGTCGTTCACTCACTGGAATTGCATTGTGACCTGCATCCCTTGAAAGATAAGTAACTTGTTTCCCGGTGTGTTTGTGTGACGTTTTATCGGTTCGTTTTGTTTTGAATTTGATTTGTGAAACAGTGATCCATCTCGCTCAGGATACGGGAACCCCAGCTTAATTTATTCACCTGGGCCACTATACACGGTTGGCGGCATCCGATTTCGGATTTGCCTGTCCCTGTGGCCTCCACAGCGAAAGCAACAGGACACCTGCGCCTACAGAGGGACCATGGATGGCTTGCCGTGCACCACACACAGCTCCATCCACACCCGAAGCAATAAGACCGGGAGGCATGTGGATGGGAGCCACGTTACATCAACGGAGCCGGCCCACACTCCTTCAAAGGTTAACACAAGCACACTATTTGAGGAATCACGCGCACACAAGGCGGTGGCTGGATCGTAGTCCGCTCCACACTGAGTGCATGGAACCACTCTTCGGGCCTAGCACGTCCACAAGGACCTTGTACCACGTCCCTTTCAGCAACGACCAACTGTCTTCTGGAGCCAGTATGGACGAGGTAGTGGGTAATAGACAGGTAGGCACCTTGTCAACATGCACATCAAGCGCAGCCACACCTGAGATATCAAGCAATAGCCAATCACTTGAAACGAAAGATGAGATAAATCGAATAATTCATAGAGATACAGTGACATAATTCTTCGCTAAATTAGCATATGAAGTAAGTTGGTTAGCAAAGACAAAGCGACAAGTACAAAATGTCCACAAGTTACTCGAAATGGGCTCCAAACGCAATAAAGTTATCACAAATAAACGCAATTAGCGTAAGCAACGTGTGCAAGTTGACAGCAAATTATTCAGGTAGGCAGAACAAATCAACTAAAGTGGAATGAAATTTATCCAGCTTAAAAAGACCTAGTTTAGATGTAACTTGGTTTTGCCCAACTGTGGTGAAGAAGCATCAAGAATGCAACATCAGCCTCAGCATGGGACACGGGCCACTATACACATGACTAGTAACGTCATATGTTGGTTGGAACCCAACTTGTTCTCATCATCATCATCATCATCATCATCATTATACGCCTGTGGTTTTCGTGTGATTTCACGCATACCTCCTTTGCACTCTCTCTCTCTCTTCGTCTGTGACAGGTTGTCCGCCAAGCGCTGAGGCTTTGATGTACGCGATATTGCAATTGCAGAAAAAGATCAAGAACATGCGTACCCAACAGCACTGGTACCGAAGATGAGCCACATACATATAGAAAAGCATTCACCTGCAGTCTAGCTCTTCTGTCCATTTGCTACCATTCAACACTGTCCATTTGTTACCATGCTCTTTAACGTTTTTCTCTTACTGATTCCATTTCTTAGCTAATAAAACCCACACTTTCTAACAACAGCCCATGTTCAAACTAACAAAACTTATCACAGTACCCCTGGAAGCCTGCATTATTGTTATGGGAGCGCGTTTAGTGAGTCCTAACTTTGTTACAAATCGAATCACATCTTTGAAATAATTGGCCAACAGATCCCGTCTTTTTCACGAACGTTGCATTGTGCATTCTTAGTTTTTAATCATTCTGTCCATAGTTCTGTGTGTAGCAACGAAAAGTGCATTTTTAAGGTTCGTGGCCAATACCGTACAGTCCGTGGGCGCTGGATAGGTCACAACAGGCTCTTCATACTAAACTAGACACAATCAGACAACTGATATTCGTCTGGAGGGGTCATGGATGACCAGTGCATATTTCATTCGACCACTGGCCCTCAGAGAACGAACCTGTCGTTCTACTTTTGCGACACCCAATCCAGTTGTGTTGCAATTGATTTATGCATCCTTTTACGCCAGGCGATGTTCATGGACCATGACATGTTCTCAGGTTCAAGTTCGGGTGGGACTGGAACGATAGGAGAATCCCGTGAGTGTCCCAACTTGAGTGAAGCGTTGAGCCAGCAATTGGTGAAGTGCTCCGAGTTCTTGATGGATCTAAAACGCAACAGCCGTATCGCACCCTGGCCAACCAGTTACTTCCAACGTTTCCTGCCCTAGCAGTCCCTGCTGTGGCAGGCACGTGAAGTAAGCAAAGGATAGGAAGAGAAATCAAACGTACAGAACAAGCAAGTGCACTTGAACTAAGAAAATAATACCAATGCATGAAGAAAGTAGAAAAGAAAATTTAAGTATGAAGATGCGAGATAGTCAGGAAAATGGCAAGGTTTCCTGTTACCATCCAGGAGCGTCAAGTTGCCACTCAAACCCCTTAACCGTAGATTCTCTGATAACACTTTCCGGAAGCATGTTCTAGCGCTAAATGACTCGGCGTGACAACTGGATTTCTGCCCTAATCCGATCGGACCGCGGTTTGTCCAGCTTCAAGGTATGGCCGCGTAGAACAGACAATCTAGCGGGACTGAATAGCCAAGATAAATCTGGACCAACCTTCCCAGTCAAGATACGATAGGTTAGGATTAGGTCTCCTCTAAGCCTTCGGTAGTGCATTGAATGCATTCCCAAACTAAGTAGACGCTCGGGGTACGTCCGTCCCCGTAATTCCTCAACTAACCTAGTACCCACTCGTAAAACCCTCTCTAGCTCCATTTTCTCTCCCGGGTGAGGCAGGGCGGACAAGCCTGGACGCAGTATTCCAAATGAGGCCGAACGAAAGCCGAGAGCAGTCTCGTATAGATGCCGCTCGTCGAAACTCCGAAAGAACGCCGTATTAACCACAGCATGCGAACGTCTGCCTGCGGCCTTCTTCCAGTTGTCGCCGGAGTGTAAAGCCGAAGAGTATACGACGCCTAGATCAACCTGGCTGAATACACGGGCGAGTTCGACTCCACCGGCTAAGTAATTCGCAGGACAACCTCCTCCAATTCAAAGAACGGAGCACTTTGCCTGATTTATTAACAGTAACCATAAAGTCTACCAGTCCTACAACTTATCTAAGGCTCGATGAATAGCTTCGGAAACCACAGGAACATCGACAATGTTCCACCGCTTCGGGGCATCAGCAAATAGCAGCGATGGTACCTCAAACTCCGCGGGTAGATCATTCACATAGATAGAACAGCAGCGATTCGAGGTCCGAGCCCCTGCATGCCACTGAGGACAGATTGTCTAAACGATAGGCCAGGGTCTACCCCTACACACTGTTCTCTACCATTCAAGAAGGCGGTCACCAAATGTAGGGCGCTGCTAGATACCCCATAGGAGGTCAGCTTTTGCGCGAGCCTGAAATGGGCTACCCTGTCAAATGTCTGCTGAAATGCGACGAAATGCACGTCCAGTGCGTGGCCGTTATCCACTGCATCCGCCCAACTTTCGCGAGCCACGAATAGATTCGTCAGACACAAAAATCCCTTCCAGAATCCGTGTTTTACATTGCTAAGTAGATTAAACCTACTCAGATGACTCACCAATTTCTCGCGGAGTTTGACTACTACACTCGTCAGACTAACTGACCTGTAATTTGCAGGCAGACTCATGTCTCCATTTTTGAAGATGGGACAGATGACAGCTTCCTTCCATTCGGAAGATAATGCACAGTTGTCAAGCGATTTCCGAAACACCATTGCGAGCGATCCACTTAGTTCCGCACCCAACTCATGCAACAGTTTCGAGTGAAATAAATCAGGCCCAGAGGCCTTAGAAGTATTCAGCTCTTGTAACAGCCTACGAACTTCCGTCTCCGCTACAATAAATTCAGATAGTCCTGGACTCTCTGTAATCCTGCATAACAACTCAACGCCTGTCAAAGAGATTTCCCTTACAAACGCTGCTGCATATTGCTCACTAAGTCCGTATGCGCATGAGTACCGTCATCATGCATCAATACTGGAAATAACGTGTTCGAACCGCTGCGCCTTTTGACATGTGCGAAGAATCTTTTTGGATTTTCTGAAGCTTCGTCCGTTTATCCTTTCTCGAAATTGAGCCGAGAATTCCTTAGGTGTTGCACCTATTTCTAGCCTTACGGTACCTGTCATAAGTGTCAGTGGATGGAGCATCTCGGTAAGTCCGCCAACAGTTAGACCACTTTGTGAGCAGATGCCTGCCAGCGGAATCTATCCAGGGCGGTTGTGCTCGTGCCTCCTTTCTCCTTGTGTTTGGGATGAAGGGAACAGAGACCTCTGTGAGGTAAGACTTCAATTTATCCCAAGCAACCTGGACAGTATCATCGCCTGAGATCTCACAATGGAAACCCGAAACCTTGGCTCTCATTAATTGGTAGTCTGCGTGCCATGCGTTCGGGAGAGACCCAACAGTACTCTGGTAGCGTCTAGACAGAGTGCAACTGAAGGGCAAACAAACATGATCACTGGAACCCAGTGGAGGTCCGTAAGTAATGTCACCAACAAAATCGAGTGACTTCGCAAATACAAGGTCTAAAATGGACGGTACTTGGACGTCCATGTACCTAGTGGGGAGGTCAATTAATTGATGCAACGATACTTGGAGCGTAAGCTCAAGTAGATCAGCGCTGAATGTGCCTGATGCTGTGTCGCAAGAAAGGTCTGCCCAGCAAACTTCTGCGAGGTTGAAGTCACCCATCAGCAACACAAGTCAGCTGGTACAGACGTAGTTTGGGTATACTTTTGACTAATGTAATCTGAAACCTAGCCCAAATGACTCATGCACCTAAGGCTCCGTCTCCGCCAATCATATAGTTGGCGACATCTGTATCCGGATTTGCCTGTTACTGTGGCCTCTACGTAAACAGCCACAGGACACCTGCGCTTACAGAGGGACCATGAGTGGCTTGCGCTGCACTACCCACAGCTCCAATGACACGCCCGATATCCAGTGTAAACCCGAAGTAATAAGAATGGGAGGCATGTGAATGGGAGCCACGTTTCGTCAACGGAACCGGCCCACACTCCTTCAACATACACAGCAGCAGCATTCCAGTCATTCTAAGTCAAGAAGTATGTGTACCAGACGTACTCAAGCCGGTGGCTCAGCCGTAGGCCGTTCCATACTGGATACACGGCACTTTTCGAGCCTAGAACGGTCACGAAAACCGTGCAACAAGTCTCTCCCAGCAACGAGTAACTGTCTCCTGGAGCCAGTAGAACTGAGGTGGCGATTTTCGACAGGTAGACAGCTTGTCAATATTCACATCAAGTGCAATCACACCGAGGATGCCAATCACCTGCCAATACCGAAAATGCGGGCGCATGTGCAGATCAACTGCAGCGAGACCGTACCGCTTCGACCGTATTATTGGCTTGGGTTAGTAAATTGAATCGAAATCAGCGAATTCACGAAGCGCTGCGCTAATGATTAGTTCCTTTTGAACTGACTCGTCGCATCAGATGTTGGATTCGCGTGTCGGCGCTTGTGGCTTACCAAGCCGGCTCAGGCACTGGCGACCGCACGTGCTACAGTACCATGCGCTCGACGTCAATGGCCTAGATCCCATCAGCGCCTGTCGCTTCCGTGTTCGGCGTTTCTTTTCCGCATGGTACAGTGCTCTTTCTAATGCACCTGGGCAACCGCCCTCTTCATATGCTCTCACTATCGGCGATGATTCACTGCCATCGATTCTCAACACCTAAGTCAAAATAAGTTCGTTACAAAGTCACCTTGAGCATGTCTTGGTAACTCAACTTCGGTTTTCCCACATGCCGCTTCCCTGCACGTAGTTGACCATAAAGCATCTATTTCGGTATCCGGGTCGAATCCGTGCGGCTGACATGCTCGAGCTACCCTAGGTGCCGCAGCCTAATGCATACATGCCAGTGGCGCGGCATCTTCGTGTCTGTAACTCGCTCGCCCCAGCCAATGCGCAGAATACGACGCAGGCACCGTTGTTGAAATCGCTCTAAATAACGGATGTCCTTCAGAGAGAGCAACAAGGTTTCGCTATCAGTCTCATTCCATTGACCAGCTGGTGATTGTTCCATACTCGATCTTTCCGAATGTGGCAGTCGCCTTCGATACGTGGCTTGCTCACTATCTGCGGGTCGGTAAAGAGTGCGCTCCCCAGGTAGAAGAATCTCGAGCTGCTTTCCATAACCTTGTTACCAATCTGTATTTAGGGCAGGCACAAGAATTCAATTTCTCATAAAGACTGGAAAAGACACAGTGTTGCTTATATGAATGGTGATCCCGAACTTGATTGATGTCGGAGTGAGGGCCGTCGTCATGCGCTGTAACTCATTCACGCCATGTGCAAACAGAGCACAGTCGTTGGCAAACAGTAGCATACGGATGGTTATCTCACACACTAGGGTTCTCGCCCCGAAACGACCATGCTCTGCGGCCCACCATCAGTACGGTGCTCCACACGAACACCGTAAGCACAAGCCGCATCAAACGCATACGACATCATGGCATGAAGACAAATGTTAAACATGACTGAAGCTGACACGGCCTTGCTTTACGTCAGAGGTTTGTCCCCACAGTTGCACCCTTGACCGTATACCACTGTGCAGACATTCAAGTAAACTTACAAACTTGCTCGGACAAACAAACTGACCCATTTCCAGCCACAATGCTTCGTGGTTCACCGAGTCAAGTATCTTGGTGAAGCCAACACACAGCGAGTACAATGATTGGTGTCGCTCTCTGCATTCTTCTTGCAACTGACGAGCCGCGACTACCATATCTATGGTGCTGCGTCCCGAACGGAGTCCTC